AAAGCCCTAAACCCTAGAAGCGGGAAAGAACCAAAAGGCACTTCATTAATTTCGAGGAATTAAAAAGAGGAAAAATGAAAATAAAATAAAAAAGAAAAATGCCAAAGTGTCTCGCGAGGTGTATAGACACCCGAGGGCAGAAGAGCCAGGTGTACAGACACCTGAGGGCAGAAGAAGAATCTGTTTTTTTCGTTTTTTCGAAACTGAATAATTAAATATTTGATTAATTTAATCAATTAATTAACTTATTTAATTACCTTTTTATTTATCCATTAATTGTTTATTTATTTATTAATTATTTCATCTATTTATTATTTTATTTTTTTTTTAATTTCTACCTCAAAGCCTCCAGCGCCCTCTCGTGCAGCACCATCGCCTTCTCCTCCGGCAAATCCTAAAGGAAGAAATTTAAATAAAACAAATAAATAAATAAAATATAAAATAAATGAATAAATAATTACAAATAAATAAATAAATATATAAATAAACATTAATTTAGTTGCAATAAATAAAGCTTAATTAATTGATGAATACAGAAAGGCGGAAAGTAGGAAAATAGAAAATGGAGAAAAGCCAAATTGAAAATTTAATTTACCGGAAAATTCAAAATAAATAAAATAATTAATAATAAATAAATAAATAAATAAATGATTTGATAAATAAATGATTCAAAATAAATAACAGGTCAAATATAAATAAATAAATAAATAGTTGAAAAATCCAATCAATTCAATAACAAGCAAATGAACTAATTAAATAATTGAGCAATGAAGATTAATAAATTATACAATAAATAAAGGATTATAATTAAATAATTAAATTAGAAAAGTAACTAAATTGTTTATTTGTTTAAAATGAGTAATCAGTTCAACAATAAATTAAATAATTAAATAATTAAATAATAACTCAAACACAAGAACTAAAGTAAAATACTATTAAATAAAAAATATAATATTAATCAAATTAAAGGATGTAAATGAAATTAAATAAAATTAAAGAATATAAATAAATCAAATTAAATTAAATCAATGAATATAATTAAATTAGATTATATTAAATTAAATTAATAAATTAAATTAAATTAAATTAAATTAAAAGTGAAAAACAATTTACTGGGTATTCTTCCATTTTCTTCCCGAGGGCGAATTCAATTCTTTGGTACATTTCGACATCATATCTGAAAATAAATAAAAAATAAAAATTAAATAAAATAAATAATTAAAATAATTATTGTTATTAAGTTTAACAACTAGAGCAGCAGCAGCAGCAACAGCAGCAACAGGAACAGCAGCAGCAGCAGGCACAGCAGCAGCAGCAGCAATGGCAGCTGACGCTGCAGCAGCCACTACCCTTTCTCCTGCTGCTGCCGTTGCTGCTGCTCCCACTAAGAAATTAGAAATTTAAGAGCCCAACCAGCAGCAGCTGCTTCAGCAGCTGCAGCAGCAGCAGCAGCAGCAGCTGCTGCTGCAGCAGCAGCTGCAGCAGCAGCTGCAGCAGCAGCTGCAGCAGCAGCAGCAGCTGCAGCAGCAGCTGCAGCAGCAGCAGCAGCAGCAGCAGCAGCTGCAGCAGCAGCTGCAGCAGCAGCAGCAGCAGCAGCAGCAGCAGCAGCTGCAGCAGCAGCTGCAGCAGCAGCAAGACATACTGTGTGACTAGAGTAACGGCTCTTCCGTTGCGCCCTGCCCGAGCTGTCCTCCCCACCCTGCAGCAGCAGCAGCAGCAGCAGCAGCAGCACAGGGAATGAGCAGCAGCAGCAGCAAAACCAGAAACAGCAGTAGCAAGGCCACCTGCGGCAGCATAACCGATAGCAGCAGCAGCAGCAGCACCAGCAGCCTAAACAGCAGCATAAGCAGCAGCATAAGCAGCAGGAGCATAAGCAGCAGCAGCAGCAGCAGCATAAACAGCAGCAGCAGCAGCACCAGCAGTCTGTGAATAGAGCTTTCAAAGAAAATAAGCAGCAGCACCAACAGCAGCCGCATAAGCAGCAGCATAAGCAGCAGCAGCAGCAGCAGCATAAGCAGCAGCAGCGATAGCCCATGGGTAGAGTTTCAGGAGCCAAGAGACACGCCAAAATAAACAGCAGCAACGTAAGCAGCAGCGTAAGCAGCAGCAGAAGCATAGGCAGCAGCAGCAGCATAAGCAGCAACAGCAGCGGCACAAGCGGCAGCAGCACAATCAACAGCAGTCTAAGCAGCAACACCAGCAGCAGAATAAGCAAGACCAACGTAATCAGCAGCACCCTTAGCGGCAGCAGCAGCAGCAGCAGCAGCATAAGCAGCAGTAGCAGCAGCAGCAGCAGCAGTATAAGCAGCAGCAGCAGCAGCATAAGCAGCAGCAGCATAAGCAGCATAAGCAGCAGCAGCAGCAGCATAAGCAGCATAAGCAGCAGCAGCAGCAGCAGCAGCAGCATAAGCAGCAGCAGCAGCAGCAGCAGTATAAGCAGCAGCAGCAGCAGCAGCAGCATAAGCAGCAGCATAAGCAGCAGCAGCAGCAGCAGCAGCAC